TTATAAATAAGCGCAATAAAACTAGTTGGCCATGAAACAGTTATTTTAAAACAATTATAAGCATTCAGTTGCGACTTGTCAGAAATGTAAATAGGTGGTTTATTTTTACAACATAGAAAATAATCAAAACTTTCCGGTACTTCCAAGCGGAGCGCAAAGAAAATCAACAAAATTGTTAGCATGAGCATGAAAACATTTCGTGTATACGTCTCGCTCGCATATACATGGGGTGACACGGTCGAATCTTGGTCGAAATGGTGACAGTCCTAGGGCAAAAAGGTTGAAATCACGCATAACTTTTCATAAAGGTTAATGTACCATTCAAAACTTTTCTAAATGTTTGTAAAATTCATCGGTTGCATCCGTAGAATAGAAATATACATTTGCCCTCAAATAAAAAAATGAATTCAAGCTGAACATTGCATTAGGTTCTAAGTAATATTGACAGATTCGCTTCGTCAACTTTCTCTTTGCATCCCCACGGTCATGTAAAGACATTCCCAGGTATTTTCAGCACATAAATCGATAAAAGAAGCTTTTATCTAGCATCCAATACGACAAACACATTAAGAAACGGTTCTGTGAATAAGTTATCAACGAAAGAGAAAGTTGCGATTTTTTGCGCTTTGGGAGATATTAATGTTCAAAAATTGTGTTTTTTTTTTCTCGTTTTTTCAACAATATCTTTGAAATTTGAAGCTTAATCCAGTATGTTTCTTCACAAAAGCTATTTATTTAGTGTATTTGCATAAGGGAATAATAAAACATTGTAAAGCTGTAAGCAAAAAAAAACCGAAACAGAAAAAAAACCATATTTTCGACATTTTTTTCTTTAACTCCATATAACTTGGAATCAGTAGACAGTGGAAATTTAACGTCTTTGAAATAGCTGTTTATTTTGTCAAGATAAACAACTTTGCCCAAAACATCAAGTCTCCAAAACGTCAGAGAAAGAAGTTAGATTGTGGCACCATCTTTGCGGAAGAGTTTTGAACTATTTGTTTATGTCAATAGATGGTCCTTATTATGACGAGAAATTTTGTCGAAGACACCAAGTCGCGGAAATGCTTCGTTTCGGAGTTATTAATTTTGATCCGCTAGGTTGCATTCCTGACCCAGTGTGCAATGTAAGCATTAGACATTTTAAGAAATTGCGCTTGGTGTTTTTCTTGCCTGCTGTCCTCTGTCGCCATATTGTCATTATGAAAATGCCATTAGCCTTGGAATAAAATCCAAGAAATTTCAATAAAATAATGGCTAAATAAGAGATCCGAAATGATTTCCAGTGTGCATTGGTATGAATTTATGTATTGAGATCAATTTTCTGTAAAATTAAGGTAATTCCATCAAATTCATTTGATTTCTGAAACAATCTTTTTTGTTAACTTGAATTATTTTGGAGGCGCATTTATTTAACGCTCATATTATCTCAATATACACGATAACATTTCAAGCGCATATGTTTTGGAACTTCTAAAAAGTCATATATTTTCTTTAAAATTTTCACTAATGTCGCCATGAAACAAAATTGATGGCATGGTGATCTTGACACCAACACTCAAACATATTTTTACCGCTAAAGATTTCCATTTGGAAAAAAAGTTTCAGCAGAACAGAACAACAACAAGCTAATTTATGGCGGTTGCTTTGAAGCCAATAAAAATTAAATTGGCTTTATAACTGATTTTCACCAAAGCGTAATAAAACTGCTTGGATACAATATTACTCTTATATAGGCTATGAGAACCTTTTGTAGAGTATGAGGCTTCCTGACAAAAGGTTTTAAGACAGCTTTATTGTGATTCTCAAACATGCTTTATAAACCTTATCAAGAGTGGTCCACTAAGCTGTATGACGATCTTATAGCGGTTATCAAAAGGTTGTGCTGGAGCTATTAATTTTATTGGCGGTTTTATGAAATTGATCTCAATAACCACTATTAGAGTGCAATAAAACAAGAAATGCTACTTGGGGCATGTCTCAGTCCTCTTCTTTAATCCTTTTAAGTCAAAGATGTCGACAACTGTTTGGCAGAACAATGCACGCTAAGACAACTTGCAGATGACGGTGTGGTTTCCGTAAGAGTTCCACAAGCCGTGGACTTGCAAAGACCATTGCAAAGTTCCTTAGATAACTTGTCTTCTTGGGCTAGGAATCTAGGGATCGAATTCTCGCCGCAGAAAACTGAACTGGTAGTGTTTACTCGAAAGCGGTACCCAGCCCAAATGCATCTTAACTTTTGGGCAGAAACATTACTCAATCGTTGTTATTGAAGTACCTTGGGGTTTGGTTTGATTCAAAGTGCACTTGGAATGCCCATATTACGTATTTGAAGCAAAAATGTCAGCAGAGGATCAACTTTCTCCGTTCAATTTGCGGCACATGGTGGGGTGCTCATCCGGGAGACCTCATAACGCTTTATAAAACAACTATTCTCTCTGTTCTAGAGTACGGCTCTTTCTGCTTTCTCTCGGCAAGAAAATGTCACCTAATAAAATTGGAACGAATTCAATATCGTTGTCTGCGTAATGCTCTTGGCTGTATGCACTCAACGCATAACATGAGTCTCGAGGTTCTGGCTGGAGTAACACCCCTCCAGAACCGTTTCTGGGAGCTCTCTCTCTCAGAATACTAATCAAATGCGGAGTGACGAACACACTTATAATTGAAAATTTTGAAGAAATTCTTGGGCTGAACACACAATCTCGATTTATGAGAATCTACCACCACTACATATCGTCAGATATGTGTCTTCCTTGTTACACTCCAGACCGTGCTCACTTCACCAATCGCAGTTCCTCAATTGAATATGATCTGACCATGAAACAAGCAACTCATGGGATTCCCGATCAACTTCGACCTATTATTATCCCGCGTATTTTTACTGAAAAGTGCCAACACGTCAATTGCGTGAAAATATATTTTACAGACGGGTCACGTCTCAATGGATCCACTGGCTTCGGTGTCTTCACTGAAAACTCTAGCGCCTTCCGCAAACTTCAGGAACCTTGTTCCGTTTATGTTGCTGAGCTTGCAGCAATCAACTTCGCATTGGGGATGATTTCCAACATGCCCGCAGACCATTACTTCATCTTCACGGATAGTCTCAGTTCGATTGAGGCTATTCGGTCGATGAAACAAGGTAGGCACTCATCTTATTTCCTTTCAAAGGTAAGGGAACAGATGAGTTTGCTGGTCGAAAGATCATATATGATTACCTTTGTATGGGTCCCCTCACATTGCTCAATCCCAGGCAATGAGAAGGCGGACTCTCTCGCAAAGGTGGGCGCGCAGGAAGGCGAATTGTATGACAGGCAAATTTCACACGATGAATTTTACCATTTAGTGCGTCAGAGTACCCTTTCGAGTTGGCAAACCGATTGGGACACTGGAAATCTTGGACGGTGGTTACATTCAATTATTCCTAATGTTTCTTCGAGAGCGTGGTTTAAAGGCTTGGACTTAAGTCGTGACTTCATTCGCGTGATGAGTAGACTTATGTCCAACCACTACTCGCTAGATGCTCATCTCAATAGAATAAACCTCGTGGACAGCAACATCTGTCGGTGTGGAAACGGTTACGATGACATCGAACACGCAGTTTGGCAATGTACGGATAATGACGCCGCCAGAGAGCGACTTTTGAATACCCTCGAGGCCCAAGGAAGACAACCCTATGTTCCTATCAGAGACGTGTTGGCAACCCGTGATCTCTGCTATATGCAGTCCGTTTATGTTTTTCTTCAAATGTCTAGTATAAGAATTTAATTCCTTTTGTCTTTTGTCTCTCTTTATTAGTTTTTGTTTGTCTTGTCCCCCCGTCTCGATGAGTCTCATCGTCGCCCACTGGTCACCCACCATAGCCGGTCGAACTTCAGAAACTAGAACCGCACTACCATTCATACTGGTGACAACCCTCTGATGAGACAACGAAACCTTACCCCCAAGCTTCTCCCCTGATCCTATCCTTCGGCAATGTACCTCGCTAACCTCGAGTAAGCCGCGAGTATTCGGTCCAACTCCTACTAGACATAGAATCAAGTGAATTTTGTTACAAACAAATAACAATGAACTATCGGCTCCGTAAAGCTAACGCGATTGAGCCTACCAAATAAACGAACTAGTCAGAAAAAAGCCTAATGTTAAATGGGTAATTTCAAAGACATCAACACCTTTGCTGGATCTGAAATTTGGTTCTGCGACAGGTTCTAAGTCTTCACAATTTGTGTATGAAAGTTTCGCGCAAAACTTGACAGGCTTTTATTTCATTGTTCTCAAGCCTGTCCTTTAGATTAATTTCCTTTCATATAGATCTTTCCAGAATTTTTCTAAAATAAATTTGAAATTCTCTCTGGAAATCCCTTGATTTTTTTTATCTTAGTACAGAAATTCTCATGTGATTTATCGAACAGCCTATTTTATTTTCTTCTATTACCGTTGTTAGCCTGTCGTATAACTAAGGATTTAAGGTTGCCGATCGATTTTTCTAGTTTCATAACTAGAACGTCTGAATGAGTACAAAAATTGTTTTTGTGATAACTTTTCGCAAAAAGTGAACTGGCTACAGCGAGAATTGCTCAATGTTGTTAAGCTCTAGCATGATTTTAATATAAGTTTTATCAATAACGACTGTCGTGTATGAGCATATGCGATTTTAATTAAATTGCATAATGTATGCAAAGTTGGCCCAAAATGGGAACTTTTCCATGAGCATTTTTTTTTTTATTTTGCTGCACACCTTTACTTGTGAACGAATGCTACAACTGCTGGTATGCCATTTGTTCTGATACACCACCGCTGTTTGCTGGTGGTCACAATGAAGTATGTTTGGTATGGTGGTATACCTCAAAACCCCTTTGGTATAGCATCAATGTGGTCAGCTTTTCGGCATCAACTTTCTGCAGTACATTGACTTCACACAAATGGAATTTAATTTTACCATGCAAAACATGCTGTCGAATTGTTTGAACGATTACTGTTATGTCGTAAATTGATATTACCTTCCTGTAGTTGTGGTATTTCTCTTCAGATGCAAAATTTAAATTTCTCCTGCGAGTTATTAATCCACTGACGTGTAGTCGTTTTGCTGTAAATTCCGTTTTCAATAGTATTCTTCTTCACTGCTTCGGAGCTAACGATTACAATTTTGAATAGGAATAACTTTTGTACACATTTGCTAGCATTTATTTCTTTTCTTCACCACAAGCTCACTCGTTTCCTAAATTTCTTCAATTGGCGTGATTTATACACTCATATCAGATCTGTTGCAACCAATGACTTTCCCACAAGTTGGTGATAACTTTGTGTGGCTTTTTCCAGACGTAAGAACAACACCTTTTTCATGTTTTAATTTAGCCACATCACATACACATGCAATCTCATACGTTCACCACTTTTTTAATTTCGGATCAAACGAAATAATTCCGACCACTTCAGACTGACACTCGTTGGGTCGTCTGTACTACTCCACTTCGATGCGCATAAATTTCATCCTTCCTTGATAATACATTTACTTTGATAATGCTCCTTGGAGTATTTTCTTTGATCACTGAATTGCTTATTCCAAGCATCACGCATCACTCTCTACAGCACGGCGAGAATCTTTTCATTATGATAATGAGTTGTCAAATTTCATCACTTAAATCTTTTACCTAATCACAACCTACCACCGGATGGCAAAAAAGAGCAACGCGCGCGTTTTGGGGCATATTCACTTCAATCGGGAGCGTTTGGTTTACAGCTACCGGTCTCGATGCCGGTCGGGATCCTACTGATGGGACAACGACTGCCAGACCGGTATCTATGAATGAACAACGATATGCTGCTTCTGACTGTAACGTAGGTTTTCCCACCGCCCCCCTTTTTAGTTCATGATGAGAAGGAGGAAGTCTGGTCGTTCCACGATCCTCATTGCTGCGTTGCAGTGAGAGAATGGAAAATGCAAGCTCGACCTAACTGAGGCTAGGGAGACTTTCTATTCTGGAGAGAACCGTTTGAGAGCGGGAGAGAAAATGTTTGGTCGAAATGCCGGTCGCAAACCACGTGCTGCTTCCAGTATCGTGTCTGTAGTGGAGTCTGATGAAGATTCATTATTTGTTTATGACTGTGCATTCAGGAACAGAGGAAAGTTATTTGCCCACACATCAAATTGAGTTTCCCTTGCTTGTAGCCAGACCTGCAAATCACACGTGTGGATTAGGAGACTCGGGCATCGGATGATTTGATTACGGACGGCTACGGGAAACACTATAACCATACTAACATGTAGTAGTGCTATCTACTTGCTTCCCAATAAAATTTAATTATATTCTCGCCCGGGCATATTTAGGTGCTAATCAATTTGTTTGCTTTATAAATCAGTTAGACCTCCAAACATTTCGGTTACCGGGCTTCTAGTTTCATCTAGTTCTAATTGGTCGAGTTGATCTTCAATCAATATAAGTATAGACTTTTTCTGCTTCAGCACTTGCCAGGTGTTTTCAGTTCTGATGCCTTCGCGTACCTAAAGTCTAAATTTACATAGATTTCATAATTAAATCAGCTCTAAAAACATAATTTCTCAATCTTTTTCTGTACAACAAGTTGCATTTTGTCGAGAGTCTATTTAAGTTTTTGAATCCGTCAGAAACAAAAATTGGGGTCGCTCTGGGTAGGGTTACCATATGGTATCCTAAAGGAGGACATGTCCTCCTTTTTCAATAATTTTTCTACATCCTCCTTTTGCCCGGAAATTTCCTCCTTTTTAAACCTTGCATTTTTTCCAGTAAAATATTCATAAAATTGTTTTCAAAGAGCGTTGTTTGTAGAGCTTATTTATTTAAATATGTCGCAACCCTATCTTATCTGGCAAATGCCATTGGATGGTGGGACTAGAAGTATACTACAGCTGTCAACCCCCCATACATTTAGGCTGCGGTTCATTTGGTGAATTTTTATTTATATTTGACAGATGGAACATTTTCAATTAAAGCTGCTATTCTACCCGAGGGGGACGACTCTATCTACGATGCAGGAAAAATTGTGTTTTGCTGTGGCTAGCTGTGCACACGCTGAGTAAATAGAAAGAAGATTGATGACGAATCTGAAGATTTCCTACAAAAAGATGAAGCGCGATGCAAGTAGATGCGAAAATTGAAAGAAATTTTTTCGAAGATTGATTCACTAGTGTGAGTTTTTTTTGAATATCTAGAATTGAGATTTAGATGTGTCGCCCCCTCAATTCTACCAGACTTATTTCAGACAAACCAGGAATAATTTTGCAAACAATTTCTCGAAAATCGGACAACAACAGAGGGATTTTCGAACATTGTAGTGGGGGGAATACCCCTCACCATCCCTCTCCAACGGGGGAGTTTGGTAATGAGAGATGATCAAACCGATTTGTACCTTCATTCATAAAAGTTGTCCTTGCTCGCTTTCTTCTCTCTATATGAACAATTTCACACTGCCGTATTCTAACGGAACTATCAACTCTATACTTACATCTCCTCGGTCTGATACAATAGCAGGTTTATTTGAAAATTTCCTATCTGTCAAATTTAAGTTAAAATTCACCAGTTTGAACACAGCCACACAGATTGAATCCATCGTTTGTTTGATTTTGACGTTCTGGTTCTATGGGATTTTAGGTATTTCAAGCATAACTATTCAAATCAACGTATCTGATTTTGTAAACAATCACTTCAATCGACGATTTGTAGTAACAGCAAGCTCACTAGCTAGTAGGCGAAAGTTTCCCCTACCTGATGATGGTGTTTGTTTGCGTGGGTGAGTTAGCAGTTAAGACAAATCGTCGATTGAAGAGATTGTTTACAAAAGCAGATGCGTCGATTTGAATAGTTACGCTTGATTTGTGTTGGCCGCTGCCATACTGAGACCGAAGAGGCACGCGAAGCGTGAAATCGAATGTAAGGAATAATATCAATAATAGGAACCCTTTTGTATAGAACGCTAAGCGCGCCTATTCGCTTCCACTATGGCACCGGCCTTAAAGTCCTATGCTGAATCAATGGTAAAATTAACAGGTTGCTTAGATGTTCCATGTTGGTATCAATCAGCGATGACATGTATCCTGATATTTGCACACGATAAAAGTTGGGATGGTTTTAAGGCTGTAAAGCTGTAGTTTTCATGAAAATCAGCTAGACTAGATCATTTTCAAGTATCAAAATTGAATTATGAAGGCTAGTTTGATGCATTTTTCAGAAGTATAACGAGCAGATGAATTGAATTGGTATGGTAAAAGTTATGAGCAATCTCAATTGAACCTTTCCAATTCATGAATTTTGTGATAGCGCACATATTATTAAAACGTTTGTTAAATGCTCATTGTCCTCATTTAATGTTAAGAAAAGGAATCATTGTCCTCCTTAGTCTCCAAACCTCAAATGAAATGTCCTCCTTTTCAAGTTTTTGATTTGGTAGCCCTAACTCTGGGGCTACTTTACTCTTCTGTAATAACAATACGCGGTGAACATAATATTTTCTCTCCCAAATGATGCTATCGGACCATTTACGGTTATACCGATGCTTACAATGGCCTCCCCGGAAAAATTCCGGTACCCCTGGGGATGTGGTCAATCCTCAACAAGAACCAAAACCCGTCATGCGACATATCAAACTTCATGGTTTTTCAAAATTTGACCGGTACTGGCCTAATTGTTAGTACACGGTCACAAGAACCAAAACCCGTCGTGCGACATACCAAACTTCATGATTTTACAAAACTACCGGTAAGGGGCTGTCCATAAACTACGTAAACAGTTTAGGGGGGGGGGTTCTGCTACCCTCGGGGAAGTGTCCAATTCTCGACAAGAACCGAAACCCGTTGTGTGACATATCCAACTGTATTGTTCACATGCGACTCATCAAACTTCATGATTTTACAAAATTCGGCTGGTCCATGATAGTCCACGGTCACACTAGCACTCAAGGGCATGTTGCGATGTCCTTGGAAATGCTCAGGTGCCCTCGGGGAAGTGGTCAATTCTCGACAAGCAAACTTGGCCGGTAATGGCCATACTGACAGTCCACGGTCACAGTAGCTCTCCCAAGAATGTTTCGATCTGGTGTCCGGCCATTTGGCCGAATGCCATTTGGCCGAATGCCATTTGGCCGAATGCCATTTGGCCGAATGTCATTTGGCCGAATGCCATTTGGCCGAATGCCATTTGGCCGAATGCCATTTGGTCGAATGCCATTTGGCCGAACGCCATTTGGCCGAACGCCATTTGGCCGAACGCCATTTGGCCGAACACCATTTGGCCGAACGCCATTTAGACGAATGCCGTTTGGCCTAATGGGTCGTTTGGCCGAATGCCGTTTGTCCGAACATTTGAAAAGAGATTTTCAATTTTTGAACACTACTAGATTCCTAAATGGCAGCCCTAATAACGATCCATAGCCCTAATAGCGATCCATAGCTACACGGGGGACAGCGCTTATCCGACACTCGAATATCTGACAACTCGAACATCTGGATAACTTTCTAGAGATCATCAAAAAAAAGTCATTGTTTACAAAAGCTGTTACGCCCTAATTCCAGCTCTATCTAAATTTTTCCTTCCTTCAAACATGCGCACGGCGAATGAGAACGACTCAAATTTGAGTTTAGTTCACTCATAATCGCCAAAAGTGCAGGAACTCAGCGATGAGTAAAATTTGTCCCATGGTTTTCTGTGGAAAACCTAAAAAATTTGCCGGAAAATGGGGAAATTGACGAAAATTTTATTCAGTCTCGGAGTAGTATCAATAGACTGAGTGAATCCAATCTTTACTTTTCTCAAATTCGGGAATTTTTCCCTGGAAAATCCTGGAAAAACCTGGGAAAACATGAGGCAAATTAACTCATCGCTGAGTTCCCGCACTTTTGGCGATTATGAGTGAACTAAACTCAAATTTGAGTCGTTCTCATTCGCCGTGCGCAGTTCTTTGGAATTTCAATTTTATTATTATTTGTTTGCACAGTAAACGCAGCTTGTTCAAAAAAAAAAAAAACAGATTTTAACAATTTTAAAAGATTTATACTTCCTTCAAACATGAGCAGTTCTTTGGAGTTTTGTTGTTCTAGTTATTTTTGGAACAGTAAATGCAGTTTTTCATAAAATTACGACGAATCAGATTTTTTTTTTAATAGGAGATTTAATCTTCTTTCAAAAATAAGTAGTTCATTGACATTTTAATGTTCTTATTATTGTTTGCATGGTCTAAAGGCATTTAGCCAAACGACCTATCCGGCCTAATTACATTTGGATAAATGACCCGAAACCTTCTGACCTATATAAAACTTGACTTCATTCGAGCTGTTTGCAGAAGTTATGAATGTGAGAGCATAATCGATATTGATACGCTTCATGTTGGAAATTGGCCATTTCCCCGGGTTGAATCTCTATAAGGCCATTACTGGCGATGTGCTGCAAAATGATGAAGTCTTATGTGTCTTGTTGATAATTGGCCGTTTCCCCGAGAGCACAAGATCATTTCCGGGATGGCCAATAGTCAGGTGAAACTATCTGAACGTCAAGCGAAATTCACTGAACTTCAGGCAAGCAAAATTCTCTGAACTTAAAAGGAAATTCACAGTCCAACGAATCTAAAAGATTACCGCCGTCTAAAAGAAAATGCCTATGGTTCACAGAACTTCCCTGAATTTCTCAGAACTTCATCAAAGTTCTTTGAAGTTCACCGAAAAGTTAAAAGAACTTCCAACAAGACT